CTCCCCGCCTGCGTTCTGTTTTGACGAGTGTCTGGCCTCGTTACAAGACGACAGTTGGCGACACTGGTGTGACTCAGGCAGAGGGAGCCGTCAACAGCCGCCTGGGCTGCCAGACTGTGCGAAGCGTCACGGGAAACCGGCTGAGGTCTGGGTTGTGGTTGGCCACTCCCTCCCTGTCCTGGGCGCGGCCTCGAACCCGGAGTCCGGAGACTGCACCTGGCTCTGCCCCTCCGGCCTGGGCTTCCCCGTCAGGGACCGGCCTCCTGGCGAGGGCGTCCAGTCCACCGCTCCTCAAAGCCGGGGTGGGCGGGACGTCACACCTGGAGTCAGGGCAAGGCTCCGACACTTCCTGCGAGCCAGTGTCCAGCGCCCTGGGCCTCCGCTCCTGGCTCTGCTCCTGGGCACGCTGACCTCTCCAGGATCGGTGTGACGATTCCATGCGACAGCCAGGGCCTGTACAAGCGGCAAAAAACCCCGGATTGGCATGGTCGGTGGGGCTATTTCGCAATGGCTGGACCACCCGTGGTGGTTCTGACGTGTCCGCTGGCCTTGGAAACATTGGGGGAGCACTTCCAGCTGGAAGTTGAAGGGCGGCATGTGGTCAAGGGCGCCCCTCTGTTCCTCGGCCGACCTGGGACAGGGATGGGCCGTCTGGGCCGAGCCAGCCGGGGCGTCTGAGGGACCACAGGTGAATCGTGAGACCTGTCGGCTACCACGTATGTCCCAGGTGAGGGAGAGACGTGGGGGACAGGAGTGTCCCCGGCCCCAAGGGACTTCCACCTTGGCTGTTGTTCATCTCAGTGTGGTTCAGCTCAAGCCACGGACTGAGCGCCTGCTGTATACCATGCTGCACTGTGCCAGGTGGCGTGCCTTCCCCCGGGGCCATGTTTCCCGATGGGTGGGGGCGGCTCCTGGCTCACAGGGACTGACTGTGTCCCGTGGGGCTGGAGGCCTCTGGGGTGCATCGCCCCTGGAAACGGCCCCGCTCCCCTTCCCATCCAGGGGTGCCCCTCTGCCTCCTGCAGCCCCGCCCAGACGCCGAACCTTGCATCCTCCTCTCGTAAACACACCTGGGGAACTGAAGTGTCATCCTACAGTGTCAGGTTGCTAAAGCCACACGGCAGGAACACGTGGGTGGCTTAGGGGCCTTTGTCACTGCTCAGTATTCTAATGTCCACCTAGGCACCGGTGCGCAGAGTGGCACCAGTGTTCCCTCTCCATCTGTTTCTTGTGTAAAAGCCAAGACCACGCCCTGTGCCGGGGAGGGGCCGGGCGTGTGAGGCCCAGCAGATAGAGCCTCTCACTGTGTCACGGGTCCCCACGTTAATTCCACGAGTTCCCACCTCAGGCAGTAGACAGCCACCAGGGCGGCTGTCCTCAGAGGAAGGGCGGGGTGACATCTAATGAGTCATCACCTGTCACCCCCTGTTCTCTCGGCTTCACGGGTGCAGCCGTGTTAGAGAAAGTGCTACCCAGCTCGGGCGCACGGGCCCCAGCGGGGACCAGGTAAAGCTGGTGTCCTGGGCACGGCCACCTCGCCCCTGTGCCCTGATACTCAGTCCACGGAGCTCGTCCAGCTCCAGGTGACGGCCACCGGCCCGGGAATTCAGAGGGTGGAGCCACTAGAGACGACCATCAGGCCTGAACGCAGGGATCGCCTGGGCTCTGCCCTTTCTGTTTTTTCTGCGTCTCCGTCCGCAGCCCCCAAACAGCACGGCAGCCTGTGGCTCCCCCACCTCCCCCACCCCACGGTGCCTCCTCCTTCACGCAGAACTGTGGTGCTGCCCCCTGCTGTCAGGACGGGGCTGTACAAGTGGAACAACAGAGCAAACAAAAATTAACAATGTGACACAGTCGAGAATAGAAACTGTTCCAAAGGTTGTTCTTAGTTGATAGTCAATTAACCTTCCTCTTAGAAAAGCACCAATAACAACCTGCCCTGGCCGGGTGGCTCAGTTGGTCGGAGCGTCGTCCCGTGCACCAAAAGATTGAGGGTTTGATCCCCAGTCCCGGTGCATACCTAGGTTGTGGGTTCGATCCCTGACTGGGGCACACACAGGAGGCAACTGCTCCAAGTTTCTCTCTGTCTCTCTCTGTCTCCCTTCCTTCCTCTCTCTCTAAAATCAATAAACACAAAACCTCAGGCGAGGATTTTAAAAAAAAAAAAAAAACCTAAAGCCTAATTGTCCATTTGATACACATGGTTTCTGATACCCATTATTTTTAAAATATGTTTTCCCTGATATTAAGAAGTAATTGTGCAGAACAGCTCTGGCTGATCACGAAGACGACTGCTCCGTCAGGGTTCCCTGCTGAAAACACGCATGACGACGACCTTTCCCGTAATGCGTCCTAAGGGGAAATAAAAATGTTAAAATGAAACCACGGTATAAAGGAAATGTTACCTATCACTTGAAGGCTATAATTTTGCTTTCTGGTGAAAAATTCTGACTTTCAGAAGAGGGCAAAATAAAGTCAGCACTTTAAGAAGAAAAAAAACCTTCATAAATACAAACCACGGTATCTCTCAGTTGGTAGTTAAGTGATTCTTCAATTAAAATTCTAATTTTAGAATCTCAATCATTTTAACTTTCCTGTGACTATCATCAGGCTGATCAGCTTTGGCCAAATACCAGGAAGAAAGTATAACTGTCTAAGGAAATTAAAAATCATTATAGGGTTGATAATACATTTTGCCTCAGACACTAAACCCATCTCTGTGCGGATTATTAAATTAATACCAAGGTCAGAGTAGAATGGTGGATTTTCCCCTCTTTGTACATTGGACACGTTTCGGGAGCTGAATTGAAAACAATGTTTGGTTGGTCCCACGACACCAGGGCAGGCTGCTGCCGGGCCGCGGGAGCCGGGGCCACGGGCATGTAGGGGGTGGTGTCGGACGGGGTGATTTGCTGTGGAAAAGGCTGTCCCCGTGGCCCCGCCCCTGTTCCTGGCCACGCCCACTGGCTCTCACAGCAGAGGCGGCCATTGGCGCAGTGGTGGACGGAGAGACAAGCAAAACGGAACCCCGACAGGAAGAAACCAAAGACAGGCGTCACCTTTCCCGGCGTTTTGCGTAGGCCCGCCCCTTTCACGCGCTAGCTCTGCCTCTTGCGCAAATCATTTCACCTTTCCTGCCCTTTCATTTCTTTTCGGAGAGCACCTGCTGGGGGCGACCCTTTTCGGGAGGAGGGAGGAAGTCACGGACACAGGGACGCACACACTGCGCCCGCGAGTTTTGGGAGGAGGGGGGGCAGTCCCGCTGCTCCCAGCCTGCGTGGAGGAAGGCCCACCGGGAGGTGCTTTTTTGATCACCAGGGAGGGGCACCTTAGTTTTGCAGACCGTCTGTCTGGGGTCGGCCCTGCCCTCCCATTACCACCCCGGCCAACTCTCTTTCACTGTCAAAAAGGAAGGAGCCCTGGCTGGTGGTCCAGTGGGTTGCAGCGTCATCCTGTTCACCAAAAGGCCATGGGTTCGATCCCCCGTCCAGGTGCATACGAGAGGCAACCGATCGATGTCGCTCTCTCACATAGATGTATCTCTTTCTGTCTCTCCTCTCTCAAAAAAAAAATCCATAAACATGTCCTCGGGTGAAGATTTAAAAAGAAAAGAAAGTGATGAGGACTTGAGTGTGGGTTGTTTGTTTGGGCTGTTTTGCTGCAGAAGAAGCAGAACTTTTGCCATCGCTTCCCAAAATGACCCGTGGACCGGCAGTGCTTCTTGGCTCCGTCATCCGTGTGCCCCCCAACCGGGGCCCTGGGGGGAGGGGAGGGCCATTGGCTCCTCCTCCCTTCCCCGGTCCCCTGGACCAGTGAGGGCGGCCGGTTACAAGGTCCCCCGATGGCAGGGTCATTCTGTGAGCAACCCCCCAGGCTCACCGGCGTGAGGCCAGACGGCCCCGTAGTTAACTCCCTCCTGGCCGCCACGTCACTCGGGTCCAAGTTCATTACTGTTTGAGCCTCTCTGCTCCTGCAGCCCGGCCCCCGACTGTGCCCCTGCGTAGCCCCCCGCCGACACGCGTGCTGTGATGATAAGTGACGGCGGAAGGCACTTAGGGAGAGGAGGAGGCGCTGGTGCACTTGTGGGTCGCGACTAATGCCGTCCTCCCAACCACACCCCAGCGAGGTGTGCATGTGGTGCGCACACATGATGTGCACAGTGCACACGCAGAACACACACGGCACCTACTCAGGATGCATGCGGTGTGCACATGGTATACACATGGCATACATGTGACACACACGATATGTGCAGTATGCACACAGTACACACATGATACATGCACAGTGAGCACACAGTCTACACAAATACACATTGTATACACACAGGATACACACAGTATGCACACCGTAGGCACACAGGGTATACACAGTAGGCACACAGCACACATATGGAACACACATGATAGGCACTCCGGATACACACAGTATGCACGTGGCGCACACAGTGTACATGCAGTAGACACTCAGTGTACACATAGTGTGCACACATGATACACACAGTGTGCACACAGTAGACACACAGGGTGCACACAGTATGCACACACGGTATACACCCAGTGCTCGCACAGTGAGCTCACAGCAGGCACGCGCCCCCAGGCGCCCCCTGCTGGCTGAGCGGGGTTCCGGGACTGCGCCTCCAGCCCAGCGGGCTCTGCCCCGGGCCGGCCGGGCAGTGGCGGCTTCAGCGTGAGTGGATTTGCTGATCAGGTCACCTCCCAGTAAGAGCCCTCGACAGCACGGTGTCGACTCACTGCAGAGCGCACTTGGGAGGTTCACGCTGCTCAAATTCGTGTCCGAAACAGAAACGGTTTCCAGAAAATCGACCCCCATTCTGTCGGGCCCCAATCGATCACGTGTGAGGGTGCTGAGCTTGGTGTCAGCGCCGGGCGGTCCCCGAGCCCCCTGGCGGGAGGGCAGGGGCAGAGGCGCCGTGTCCCCGGGAGTCCCCTGCGGCTGTGCATTGACCAGTCACATCTCTCTGCTCTGCTTGCCCCCAGAGGAGGTCCTGAAGACCTACATCGCGCACTGGTGGTCCCCGGACGGCACGCGGCTCGCCTACGCCACCATCAACGACTCCCGCGTGCCCGTGATGGAGCTCCCGACCTACACGGGCGCCGTGTACCCCACCGTGAAGTCCTACCACTACCCCAAGGTAGGCGCCGCCCCACCGTCCCCCCGCATGGAGGGCTGTCACCCTCTCAGACCTGTCAAGAGCCACTCCGTCACCAGGGGCAGGCGAATTACTTCCCATTACGTCACACTCAGCCCCCGTCACCCGAGTTCAACTCCTGGGCCCAGTTGCCCTGTTTTAAACAACTGACCTGCTTGTTCCTCTTCGGTCTGAGCTTCATCTCAGTCAAGACAAGCACCTCCCCCCCCACTCGCGACTCTGGGAGACAAGCACTCACACGCCCACCCTCGGGACACTCTGTCCTCGCTCCGAGTTTGGGATTTGGCCCTGGGGGGGCCCAGGGTCCTGCCTGCCCCTGGCCCCTGGGTCCGCACCGGGCTGTTCTGTGCTTGGTCATTTGTATGGCCAGCAGTGTGTCTAACGGCCCCCCAGACCACCATGCTGACACAAGGTGCCGGCAAGGACACACAGCAGTGGGCAGGACAGGGGACAGGGGCCAGTGTCCGACCCCATTCTGTCAGCAAACTAGAGCAACACCGTGCCAGGGGAGGGCCAGACACCAGACCCCTGCTGCCCGCTCACCTGGAGAGAGCTGATGTCCTCAGGAGCGACACGGCTCCCGTGCACACTCGCAGCTGCCGTAGGCAGCCCCCGGCCCCTGCACCTGCCTGGTGACAGCACACACTTCCCGACACGGGGGTCCCCCTGAAGGGCCACTCCGGCCTCTGCCAGAGGGCACTGAGCCCCCTCCCCGAGTGTCAGACAGCAGCTGGGGCCTGCCAGCCTGCAGGCGGCAGCAGGAGGGACCACAGCGCGCAGGTGTGGCCAGCCAGGTGCAGCGGGGGAGACACCTGGTGTCCCAGTCGGCTAGGGCGGCTGGAACGAACCCAGCAGCAAACCCAGGGGTGTGGAGAGAACAGACTCACTGCTCACAGGTCTGGGGGCCGGGAGGCCACGGCCAGGCTGCTGGGCAGCGCCCTCCCCCGGGCCACAGGTGGCCCGTCTCTCCTGTGCCCTCACGGGGCGGAGGGGCAGCTCTGGCCCCCTCCTCTTCCTGTAAGGGCACTGACCCCATCATGGGGCCAACTGTCACGACCGAACAGAACCCCAGCGACCCCCCCGTTAGGCATCGGGGTGTCACATGCTGACTTGGGAGGGACCAGACCGTGGTCCCCAACAGCTGGCGTGACCCATTTCCCGCTGCCCTTCGGTCCGGGTGGCCCCAGGGGGAGGAGCCTCTGTCTCTGCCTCTTTCCGTCCCAGCGGCACCCAGGTGTCACCGGGACGCGGGTTTGCCTCGGGACGGGGCCCCTCTCTCTGCCCCAGCTCGTCGTTAGCAGGAACCCCGGGGACGGGCCCGGGCGACAGGGCGCCGGGCGGACGGCACCAGTCTCTCGGCCCGCCTGGTGCCTCCACACGCTCACACTCACACACTCACACCCCTCACACACACGCACACACCAGGCACTTACACACACCACACCAGACACGGCCACATAACCCCACACACCACACACATGCATATTCACACACACACCCAATACAAACACATACACACTCATACCACACACTATGCTCACACACTCAGGAACACATGCACATACATCCACACTCACTCATACACACTCATACACTCACACTCACACACTCACACTCACACACTCATACACTCACATACCACACACATACACACGCCACACATGTACCACACACACAGTACACACACACTATGCTCGCTCACACACTAACACTACAAACACACACTCACATACTCACTCACATATACACACTCACACACTCACACTCACACACTGCTGTCATCACCCGGGACGGTTTCCCAGGGGAACTGCTATACCAGGGTCCCTTCCGTCCAGGGCCAACGTCCTTGACCCGGCGGTCAGCCCTGGGACCGGGGGGAACTCACGCAGGACTGGAGGCTTTGTGTGTTGGCAGAGAGCCGCCCCAGTCTAGCCAACAGAGTTTAGACCTTGGCCCCCTAACGCCTTCTCCCTAGTCAGAGCCCCGAGCTGGCGGGCCGCCTGACTCCGCCCGCTGGTGGGGCACGTCTGCCTCCCCGGAGCAGAGGAATGGAAGGCGGCAGTCTGGCCGCCCCGCCCCGCCGACCAGGCCGGTGCACCCCGCCCCAGGGCCGAGGGAGCAGGGAGCGAACAGGGAGGGGGTTCCGTTCCTTCCGGAGGAACTTGTTGTCCGGCCTCCAGGCCACGGCTGCATCAGTAACGCTCCCCACTTCTGGAAGCGCCCCTCCTTCTCCGTGCCCAGTTCCTCTGCCGCCCCCGGTGGCTCATCGCGTGGAGTGGTGCTCGCCTGGCACTGACAGACGGTGTGGGGGGGCGGGGTTTGGGGGGAGCAGTGAGCACGGGGTGGGATCCCCGGGCAGAGCAGGGCTTGGCCGCCTCGGTCACCTCGGGTCCTCACGACCTCGCGGCAACCACGTGCCCTCAGCAGGCCCCGCCCCTTGCGCGGGGCTCCGGGGCCCCCGGGCCTGTGTCCGCCCTGGGATGGATGACCTCGCGGGGCTCAGCTTTGTCCAGACGGCAGGTGGCTTCCTCACGTCCCCGTCCTTCTGTCCCTCGCAGGCTGGCTGTGAAAACCCCACCATCTCCCTGCACGTCATCGGCTTGAACGGACCCACCCACGACCTGGAGATGACGCCGCCCGACGACCCGCGCATGAGGTTGGCTCCCCCTGTGTCCGCGGTGGCACAAAACAGTAACAACTAGATGAGCTATCAGGGTCGCGTTTGCACGGTCTCCGATGTGTTTTGTGGCCAGTGTTAGCGTCCAAGGAGCAGGTAAGGGTCTGGAGCCTTCCTTACGTGGTGCGTGTCGGTTTCCTGGAACCAGAACGCCGGCCAGACCCGTCCTGCCACGTCCCACCAACGCTAGGGGTCCGGTCTCCCACCCGCCCCGGGAAGGGGCCCCGGACCACCGCACGTCTCCAGCAGGGGGCGCACGACACGGCCTTTCCCGGGAAAACCCGCGCCAGCGGACTTTCGGTCTCTGGCGCCCCGTTTTCGGAGCGGGCTTTCAGCGCCTCGCGGTCCCCTGCTGGCGCCGGGGTCCGAGCAGAGACGCCCGTTGCGGGAGCCAGACCTCGCAGCTGGCGAGGCGGCCGCCGCGTGGCTGGGGGAACATTCTGGCACAGATAACTCTCCCGCCGTGGGGCTCGCCTGGTTTAGACGGATTGTTTTCTCACCAGAGCCGCGGAGGGGCCCCTCCAAGTGAAGTGGTCTGAGGGTCCGTCTCGTCTGGTCCCAGGCTCACGCCGCCGGGGGGCGCAGTCGCTCCCAGAGCCCGCCTCCGACCTCCTGCGCCCCCCCTGGCGGGAGTATGGATGGGGAGGCGCGCAAGCGGAGGGTGTCTGGCCGGTACCCGGGTCCGTGCGTTCAGAGATCCCCGTTCACCCAGAAACGGGCCCGGGAAGCCCAGAATGACTCCTTCTGAGGTTCGGCAAATAGCCCAGATTTTGCCCCAGCTCCAGCCTGGGTCTTTGCTATCCAGTTACAAAAAACCCCCCATGATTAGCAGCTTCCGGCAGCGCGTCTGGAAGGGCAGGCGCCGTGGCCCCGCCCCTCGGGCTGCTCCGGGGGCCCAGCTCAGACCGGAGCAGGGAGCCCGCGCGGTTCTGCTGGTCTGTGCTGTCACCTCCCGCAGTGGCGTCCGTCTGCAGGCAGACCATCTGCCCGCGTCCCTGGAGCCGGAGGTCCCTGCGGAATCTCCTGGGGCGTGTTCAGCCCTCCCTCCCTCCCTCCCTCCGCAAGATGTCCGATGCGCTCAGGCCCTCGGGTGGGCAAGACCAGCCCTCCGTGGAGGGCGGCCCGAGACCCCGCCCCTGCCCTCAGCCGGTGCCCCCTCCCGCAGCCGGTCCCCAGGCCTGACTCCCTTGTGGCCCCTCCCTGGGGACGGGCCTTTTGTGGGCACCGGCCAGGGGACCCAGTCGACCGGGCTGGCGGTGTTTGCACCGGGGCGGAAGGAGCCTTTGGCATGATGCTCTGCCTCCCCTCCCAGCGACCCGCAGATGCCGTCTCCTCCTTGCGCACCCCCTCCCCTGGCCCCGTCCGGCTCGCTCTTGGAATTAATGTGGAAAGTCACCTGGAAAATCTGAGCCATCTGTGCGAGCTAATTGAAAACTTCATTTAGTCCATTTGGTGGGGCCGTTTCCGCAGGCCTGGTTAGCTTCAAGGACAAGGAAAGATTGGCCTCCCCGGACCTCGCGGGTCCGTCCACTCGCTCCCCCTCCCGAGCCCATGGTAGCGGCGCCCTCTCTCCACCATCGAGGGCCCCGCAGGCAGCGGTCACACTCGGTCAGCCCCCTTCTCTGCGACACGCCCCAGGGGCTTTTTCAGGGTGAGCGCAGACGCATCAGAAGTCGTAGACCTCCCGGGAGCGGAAGTATATTGAGTATCGATCACTGGCCGACCCCGGGATGTGTATTGAGTATCGATCACTGGCCGACCCCGGGATGTGTATTGAGTATCGATCACTGGCCGACCCCGGGATGTGTATTGAGTATCAATCACTGGCCGACCCCGGCCGGAGGATTCCGAGGGGCAGGAAGCAGGGAGGTTAGGATGCACGGGGCAGTAGACTGGAAGAAATGCCGGCGGGCGAACAACTGCAGGTGTGAGCTGGGCCGTGGGAAGCGTAGGGGGTGCGTGGGAGAGGGGGCCGACCTCAGCTGCGGGGTGCCAGCACCGTGGCTCAGAGCGGTGGCGCGCCAGCGGCACCTCGGGCCTGGAGACGCTGCTGGGGGCACAGCCGTGCATCAGAGCGGCATCCCGGCCTCTGGCCCTGGACGTGGGCAGGGCCCTTCCCCGAGTTGTGACCGTCACAGATGTCCCCAGCCATCACCCCATGTGCCTGGACTGAGGACGGCTGGTTGGCAATGGCGGGTCTCAGGGCAGCCGCCTGGGTTCGGAGCCCGGTCTGGTCTCAGCCCGGCTTCCGTGCCTTCACCCACTAAATGGTGACGAGTAACAGTAATGAGCGTGGATCCCCTCACGGCTGGTGGTGGTGGAGACTAAACGAGACAATGCGCTCAGCACGGGGCCGGCTCGTGGGAGCGGGCCATCTCATGGCCGTGGAGGCCCCCCCGCTTGGCTGGCACCTCTCCACTCGGGGTCTCCGCCCCACCCTGTCCTCAGAGCCTCTGGGTCCCCCACCGACCTGCCCACCCACCAGGCCCCCTTGCACTGGGCAGGCTGACCCCCAGGCGAGCGTGGGCCGAAGACCGTGTGACCCCCACCGGCTCATAAGGGTGCCAGCGAGGTGTCAGAACCAGTCCGCAGGGCGTCTGAGGAGCTGGCCTATGGGGACAGCCTGGCAGGGAAAAGTCAGCGGAAGTTTGCTGGGCAGTGGATGCATCCGGGCCCCTCAACTGCGAGCTCTGGGGGCGTCCGCCCCCTGCCCCCCTCCCCCGGACATAGACACCTGGCGCTGGAAGTGACCTCTTCTGCCTCCGTGCAGGTGGAGGATGAATTTTCTGACCATCTCAAAACGGCGCCCCAAACAGAGTCCCCAGCAAACCCTCTACACCGGGCCAGAGCCCGTGCTCCCTCCACTCAGAAACGCCCCGTGGTTTCCCGTTCCCTCAGGGTGAAGCCGAACCTCCCAGCGCAGCCTGAGGCCCCGCCTGCCCACTCCCTGCCCCCCCCCCGCCCTCGGACCCCTGCACTGAGCCCGCCCTTTCTCAGGTGTTTTCTCCGGGGCTACCGCGGCACATGGGGCCCCATCAGTGCGCTCACAGCTTCAGTCTTCTCCTGGGGACGCCCCCAGCAGGGGGGCCTGCGCCCTCGCTACCTGAGTCCCGTCCCCTCCCTCCGCCCCTGGAAGGGAAAGGCTAGGGGGGGGCAGGCGGAGACGAGCGGAGCCCACCTTCTCAGGATGGGCAGACTGGCTTCACACGTGGCCGCCCGAAAACCCGATGTCACTGGATTCTCGGAGACCGAGACGTCTCGGTTGTCCTGGTCCAGCTCTGGGACGCAAACCCCAAACACTTGCAGCCCCCGGTGCCGTCCTGCCACCCACCGGATGTGGGAAGCTGGGGCGGGGCGGGGCGGCAAACCCTTCTCCCCACCCACCCCCGCGTCCAGCCGAGACGCTGAGAAAGACAAGAGGGAGGCAGAAACAGGGGGCTGAGTAGCCCCTCCCCCCCAAGTCTGGGGGCCGGGGATGATCGCAGTGAGAAGAAGCTGGAGCAGCTCAAACAGCGTCTCCGAGAGGAGAGACACATCCGCGGAGAATTAACGGGACGAGAGGACGCAGCTCTCGGTTTCCCAGGGCGAGGACTGCGGGGAGGTCGCGCTCCATGCGGAGGGGACTCGGGGAGGCTGCATGCAGGGTCCCGGGGCGCAGCCCGGGGCTCCAGGAGCAGGAGAACGAGAACTTGCCTCCGGGCCGTGGATGGAAAAGGGGGAGCTGCTTGCCCCTGGACTTGGGCGCAGCTCTGCCGCCGTGTCCGAGGGCGTCTCCGGGGGTGACGGAGTCTGGTTTCCTCCAGTGCCGATATGGGGAAGACGGAAAGCAGGCGCCTGCTCCACACAGGGATATAAACAGGACGGAGACAGATCCGGAGCCCTCGCAGACCTGGCCAGGGGCAGGCAGGCGGCAGGCAAAGAAATACATAATATTAAAAAAAATAAAAAACCTCAGTGTTGGCTGCTGTGGCTCAGTGGACTGAGCACCAGCCTGTGAACCAAAAGGTCACCAGTTCGATCCCCAACCAGGGCAGGTGCCTGGGTTGCGGGCTGGGTCCCCAGCTGAGGACCTGGGAGAGTCCACCAGTCAAAGTCTCTCTTGCACATGGATGTTTCTCTCCTTCTCTTTCTCCCTCCCTCCCCCCCTCTCTAAAAATAACCAAATAAATACAAACATCAGTGCCCAAAGCTGTATCCTTCTTTTAAGGCGTGCGGACGGGGGAGCAGTCGCTTCCTGGGAGCGGCGGCGGGCAGAGGAGGGTCCGCCGGCTCGCACAGGGCTGGGCACGCGGAGCCTTCTTGAAGCCCCTCGCGTGACCCTGCAGCGTGGCCATGGCGGGCAAGCCCTTCTCGGCGCGACAGACCCCCCGGCTGGAAGGACTCCCGCATTTTCGGATGTCCGCGCCTCCGCCCCTGCGTCTGTCTCCTGCCAGCGTGTTCCTGGTCTCTCGTCTCTTGTGCTCACATCACTGGCTCTGGGAAGGCGGCGGTTGCCTCTGGACAGGGTTCCCGAGTTTTCCTGAGAGTGTCCTGGGGGTGAATTACTTACTCGCGCAGGGATGCCCCCTGTGCCCTCGGAGTGCGCCCCATCGCTGCTGCTACCTCCTGCGTCCCGGTGAGGGCCGTACTGATCACTGGGGTTTGTTCCAGGAGATTGGTTCGACCAGACAGTGGCTGTGGGCGGTCACAGCGTCCGCTCGGGGGTGGGCTTCGTTCCCCCCCGCCCCCACCAGGGCGAGAAGCCGTGCGTGCTGCCGTAGAGCTGGGCTTGATCCTGTTGATCACGGACAAGGGCATTCTCCACCTTCCCGTCGGTCTCGGGTTCCGATGCTGACACCAGTACGCAGGTCCGGTGCTTTAGGCGCCTGGGAATCGGGGCCTTGGACGCCTGCGTGCGTGGGCGTCTGATGAAGAAGGCAGGCGCGACGCAGCTGCGGCCCGCGGTTGAGAAGGCCGCCAGGTGGTCCTGGGGACGGGGA